CATTTACTGGGTAACCTGTAAATCTGACGATGTAGGTCAGGATCTAAAAAAGGTTCTTCAAAAGTCCAGGCTGTGATGGAAGCCGCCCTATCACTTGAGCATTATGCCTGGTGGATCCAGGTGCCTGACTTAGGTGCCAGCCAAAGACACCACGGGGTGCCTCTGATAAGCCCCAATGGGAGCATCACAGCTGTGACCCTTGGAGTTTGGGCCATGCAATCCTCTGCCAATGACTATTCTATGTTCTAAAAACAGAACATCTTCTGGCTTGCTACTGGACCTTGGTAAGGACTGGATGCCTGATTTATGGAACACCGTAAGTGATTATCGAACCCAAATGTTCTTCATAAACTGGGTGTTATCTGATCCACAGAATCATGAAATTGGATTTGCACAGTTGTATCCCACTCAAAACTGAAGTGGTATATATGATATCGGGCTCAAGCAGATCCAGAAGGCACAAATAAACTGCATGAGCAAGTAGTTCAGACTCCCATGGTATCTGTTTCCTGCTTCACCTCCTCTCCCTCAGTTTACACTCCATGGCTTCAAGAGGAGGAGGAGAGAGTACAGGCCAGTTTTATGGAAGGCTTTGCACAGTAAGCCAGCAACAGTCAGAAGTGGACAGTTGCTGCACTACAGCCCCATTCAGAGGGGGCCCTGAAAGACAGCTGTGGAGGAGGAAGATCCTCCCAGTGGGCAAAACTTTGGGCAATAATTGTGTTATTCATTTTGTGTGGGAAGATAGATTTATGCGGACACATGCGCAGTGTCTGTTGGGCTGGCCATTTGCAGAGACTTGGAAAGCACACAAATGGGAACTTGATGACATGATGGTCTAGGAGAGAGGTCTGTGGATGGCTTCCTAAAATGCTCACAGAGTGGGAAGATGTTTGCATCCCAGGTAAATGCCTATCAGAAGGCAATCAGTGGGGGAGTCCTCATTAATTAGAGAAGATGACCCATCCTGTAGATTCGGTCAGCCTCTTTCCCCAACCAAATTGGTGCTTTCTCAACGGAACCATGTACAAAGTGTGAAGCCACCAGATTTCCGTATGTGATAGGAGATCTGTGCTCTTTGTCCAAGTTTTCTTTTTTTTTTTTAAAGATTTTATTTATTTATTTCCCCCCCCAAAGCCCCAGTAGATAGTTGTGTGTCACAGCTGCACATCCTTCTAGTTGCTGTATGTGGGACGCGGCCTCAGCATGGCCAGAGAAGCAGCGCGTCGGTGCGCGCCCGGGATCCGAACCCGGGTCGCCAGCAGCGGAGCGCGCTCACTTAACCACCAAGCCACGGGGCCGGCCCTGTCCAAGTTTTCATACAGTTTTTTTTTTAATTTTTAAAATAAAAAAATTTTATTGTGGTAAAACATGCATAACATAAAATTTACCATTTTAACCATTTTTAGGTATACAATTCAGGGGCATTGAGCACACTCACTATGTTGTGTAATCATCACCACTATCCAGCTCCAGAATTTTTCATCATCCCAAATTGAAACTCTATCCCCATTAAACACTAACTGCCCATTATCCCCTCCCCACAGCCCCTGGCGACTACTAGTCAACTTTCTGTCTCTGTGAATTTGCCGATTCTGGATACCTCATTTAAGTGGAAGCATACAATATTTGTTCTCTTGTGTCTGGCTTATTTCATTTAGCATAATGTCTCCAAGGTTCACTCATGTTGTAGTATGTTGTCAGAATTTCCTTCCTTTTTAAGGCTGAATAATATTCCATTGTGTATATTACCACATTTTGTTTATCCATCCACCCATCCATGGACATTTGGGTTGTTTCCACCTTTTGGCTACTGTGAATATGCTGCTATGAACACGGGGATGCAGGTATCTGTTCAAGTCTCCGCTTTCAATTCCTTTGGTACATACCCCGAAGTGGAATAGCTGGATCATATCACACAGTTTTTTAAACACTCTCAAGTAAACCAGTCTTTGTTTAATAAAGTTAACCACTTTGCAGAATCATTTTTTTCATCTCCAAGCGTTTTTGACACCAGCACCTCTCTGTGAAGAAAGCAGTGTATGTGATAACATCAAGTTTTTTTTGTTGTTGGTTTTTGGTTGGTTTTGTTTTTTCACAAGGGCAGTGAAAACTCTTACAGAACCAACTCTTGATGGGAACATCATGGGTTCAAATGCCGAGACAATGCTTCCACGACAGACCTTTTGATTCCAGATAGGAAGAAAACATTAAATATGTCTTGGCTGTTTGTTTGTTTGTTAAAGCTGTTCACAGCAGGGGAAAAAAAATCTCTTTCTTTTTTTTGAGGAAGACCGGCCCTGTGCTAACATCTGTTGCCAATCTTCCTCTTTTTTTTTCTCTTTTTTTTCCCCAAAGCTCCAGTACATAGTTGTGTAGCATAGTTGTAGAGTTGTAGCTTTTCTATATTGGATGCCACCTCAGCATGGCTTGATAAGCAGTGAGTAGATCCATGCCCAGGATCTGAACCGGCGAACCCTGGGCCACAAGAGCAGAGCGTGCAAACTTAACCACTACGCCATCTGGCTGGCCCCCAAAATCTCTTGATTATCAGCATCATTTACAAATCTTATAAGTGCTCTAGCATAGCATTTAGTGGTAAAATCTGTTGACCCATCAACCTGGATAAAGAATCTGTTGTTTTTCAGTTTATTACCGAAAAAACAAAAAATTCTTCAGCATCATGGGACATGTCATCAATATGTCAAGTTATCGCTCTGAGTGGAACCTTTCCACTTTTTCATACAGAGTCTTGTGCTAGTGTTTTACTCACTATAATTTTACATGCCAGCATTATTAGATTCCCTTTTCTGGATAATAGATTCTGCTGCCAAATAACTCGCTCTTTGAGCCTTTTTACTGAATATGACCTTTAAAATAAAAGTCTTAATCTATTTGTTTTGAGATACCAAGAGATAAAAATTAGAGCATTTACTTGTGAAATGGCTGTGATTTGTAGCTAAGTTCTTTTCAATTTCGCTGAAGCCATTGCTATGTTTGTAAATTGTCATTCTTCCTCACTAACCCTACCCGATCTGTCCATAGTCTTAAGCTCCTCCTCTTTCGTTTCACACCTCATCATAAAAAATCACCACATTGGACCGTTAGACACATTTGTAAAACACAAATACTAATAAGATACACGATAGAATGGCGTAATAAATAACTAAACAAGAAACTGGCAAAAAATACGAAAACTTGCTGAAATTCACTTCTAACCCGCATGATTTATGCTTTATAGTGTTTACGTCGATAGCAAAGCGGCAGGGAGGCAGCTGAGTCACGGCACGTAAAAATTATTTCTTTAGAAGGAAAATTTCCTCTGATTTTCTATGACGCCAGAAAGTTGGTTTTCTCCCATCAGTTAGTCATCAGTATTGGCTGATGGGGAGGTAATTCAGGAAGGCAAGCTGATGTTGTAAGTCTTTATCCCCTCTCCAGGCAATTCAGTGTTCACAAATGACCGACAGACTTCCTGATCTCACGTTGCAGACTGAGAAAGGACTCACCGACCAACACTGCACGCTCCCCGACGGGGCTGAACCACCTCTAATGAGGCTGCTGGGTTGTTGTCCATCACTAAAAGCGCTGGCATCACACAGCACATGAAGTTCAAAAGTAATGCTGCTTTTTTTTCAATCACAGTACAGGATGCCTGGCCCAGAAACATCTCAAGGCCAGTTCTATGGTTCCACAGAACCCTAGTTGAAAACTCTGCCCAAGAGTGTTGATCCTGTTTGTCGTATCCACACTCTAGCCCATAGGAAGGGGGAAAACAGAGGTTCACATGCCCAGTGCTTTAAATCCAAGACCCGTAAGTTCTCACGTTGCTTCTGCTCTCACCCTTTGGCTACACCTAGACGCAAGGTACACTGGGAAATGTCATCCCTAGTTGGGAGGCCATGTGCCCAGGAAGAAGAAGAGAATGGATTTGTGGAACAACTAGCAGTCCTACCACAAACTCCTTCCTTGTCTGCTGCTGGCAACAGACACTGAATCCCTCGAGGGCAGGGGCCGTGCCTCTTTCATCACTGGGAACCTGGTACCCAATGCCGCTATGAACTTGGCTGTGACCAAACACTCAGGACCCGTAGTCAAAGGAGTGACCTGTAAGCTTCCAGAAGAGCTGCACTGGGCATGAATGGATTCAGTGTACAGGAAAAGCTTTGCAATGAATTTCAGCAGGAAGACAGGACAGCATGGTGGTTAAGGGGACTGATTTTGGAGTCAGTGCTGATTTTAAGTTCTTATTCATTGAGCAACTCATTTATTCTCTCTGAGCCACAGCACCTTCCTCTGTAAAATAGGGATAGTAATATCCATCACAGGGGATTATTGTGAGGATTAAGTAGGTCCTCAATCAATAATGGCTGATAGTTTTTAGTAACAACCCAAGAAAGGGAGTTTCTGTCACTGTCAATGATCAAGGAGAGAATGATAATACCAGTTAATATTTATTGTGCTGTTAGTATAAGCTTTACATATCTTAACTTTTTTGATCCTATGAGGTAGGTGTTATTATCCCCATTTTCAGAGGAAGAAAGTGAGGCATAGGAAGATTAAGCAACTAGCCCAAGGCCACACACCTACTCACTGTAGAATCAGGCAGTTTGAACCCCAGAGCCAGCTGGTATCTAGGGAGGATGGGGGACTGGACCACTTGGCCTCTTAAAGTTCTTTCCAACAACAGGGCTAAGGCAACTGCTAGGGCCTCTGGTGTCACCCTGGATTTCTACGTCCAGCTTTGCCATTGACCTGCTGGGTTTCCTTGGGCCATCCCTCCCCTTTCTTGACCTCAGTTTCCTCATTTTGCAATGAAGAGGTTAGACACAATGATCCTTGATTCGGAACTGTAGCCCAGGAGGAGGCATTTGGGAAGTAGGCCTGGGAAGGGGCCTACTGGTGACATCATAGAGGGGAGAATTCCGTGAGCAGAGTCAGGCTTTCCTAGAAGCTCCAGTGCCACGGCTTAGGTAAGCAGGGCAATCCAGGAAGGGGCCTGTTGGGCCCACGTCTTGAACTCTCCTTGTTCCAGGGTTCCTAGCATAGTCATGGATCAACCCTCAACAGCTGAAAAGGGTCAAAATGACTCAGACACCAGTGACTTGGATGTGCTCTCTCGCCCCAGCTCATCAACCCCACACCACAGGCCAGGCCATAGTGGAGGCCACCGCCATGATGAGTCCCATCACCATGGTGAGTCCCATCACCATGGTGAGTCCCATCTTCATGGTATATCCCATCATCATGGTGGATCTCACCACCTTGGTGACTTCCAAGACTTCCATGACAATGCCTTCTCCCGCCATTCCCACCACTCTCCCCACTCCCACCATTCCACCCACCATGGAGAGGCCCGCCATCATGGTGGAACCCACCACTCCACAAACCTTGTCCTGCCTCCTTCCCATGGCACTGTCTTCTCCCACAATTCTCATGGTGAGGACCACTCTGATGATGAGCACCACCACGGTAGCAGAAAATATAATGGTAGGCCTCACCACCGTAATGAGTCCTACCTCCATGGGGGCCCCTCCCACCACGGTGAGTCCTACCTCCATGGGGGGCCCCCCCACCATGGTGAATCCTATCACCCTGGGGCCCCCCACCACCACGGTGAGTCCTACCTCCACGGCGGGCCTCACCATCATGGTGAGGCCTACCACCATGGGGGGCCTCACGATCGGGGGGGGCCCCATCACCGTGGTGTGTCTCACCACCCCAGTGAGGTTTCCCGCCATAGTGGGCTCCATCACCAAGGTGAGCCTTACTACCATAAAGAGGCCTACCACTCCGGGGGCCCTCACCAACACATTGAGGCCTATCACCATGGTGGGCCCCATCACTATGATGCTTACCACCACGGCGGGCACCATCATCATGAATCCCCCCACCACAGAAGGCCTCTTCATCATGGAGAGACCTATTCCCACCATTCCTATGTGGGGTCCTACCACGATGACATACCTAACTACCACAGCGAGCGCCACCACAGTGAGCAACACAATGGCCACCATGGCTACCACGATGAGCACCACCATGGTGAGCACCACCACAGCGAGCACTACCGTGGTGAGCACCACCACGGCCACCACGGCTACCACGATGAGCACCACCGCGGTGAGCACCACCATGGTGAACACCACCACGGTGAACACCACCATGGCCACCATGGCTACCACGATGAGCACCACCATGGTGAGCACCACCACGGTGAACACCACCACGGCCACCACGGCTACCATGATGAGCACCACCATGGTGAGCACCACCCCGGGGAGCACCACCCCAGCGAGCACCACCATGGCCACCGTGGCGAGCACCACCACAGGGAGTATCACCGTGGTGCACATCCTTACGATTATCTCCACAGTATCGGGGCGCAACATCATGGTGGCTCCCAAGTCTTTGGCCCACTCAAGCCCCACAGCATGGCCAGAGCCTCCTTTGGCTCCACCTATTCAATGGCCCTCCAACCGAACTTGACCCGTTCCCACAGTAAAATTCGCTCACATGCCTCCCAGGTCTCTAGCGAAGTCCATCCTCAGGATTCCTCCTCTAAATCCTCGGAAAGCTGGGCTGAAGAAGATGAGCAATTTCAGAAGCACGAAAGTGAGTCTTTGCTCACCCCCTCCCCAAATTCCACCGCCTGGCCCAGATTCCTGACCTAAGGGGGCCCTGCACTGAACATCCGCAGGTCATGAGGCTTGACTCTCACCTGCGTGTATATTCCATTCGCTATTCACTCACCTGACCGTTCATCGTCCAAACTTTTATTCCTTGAATTATGCACCTCTTTAGGCTGTCACTGCTTTATTCATTCACACGTTCTCTTCTCGAACATTTCCTCTTGTCTAATATGGGTGCCTGGCCTGCCTGGGCCCTGGAAGCACAGGAACCACAAACCCTGCCCTCAAGGGGCTCCAAGGCTGGGGGTGGTCACTTAAACCCCCAATCCCAGACCCCCGAGTGATGGGGGCCTGTCCTCACTATCAGAACAGTTACCACTGTGGATTCTATTTGTCCACATTTCCCCCACTAAACTGTGAGCTTCTTGAGGACAGAGACTGGACCAGTGCCTGTATGAGTGTCTTGTTCGAGGGGAGGGAAGGACCTTGGCTATTAATGCCCAGTCCCCCAAACTTGGCCCCTAACAGTTCAGTAAACATAGCGACAGTTGCATGAACAGCAGAGAGAGGTAAGTGTCTAATTGAATGGGGGTAGGGAAGGTAGCCAAGAGGAGGAGATGTTCCAGCAGAATCTTAAAGGGAGAGGGAGAGTTTACCAAGAGGATGGGGTGGTGAGGAGGATTGGGTTTTCCATGCATAAGTTGCCTTTTACGTAAAGAAAGGCATGGGAGTGTAGGAGCCTGAGCCCGCAAGATGTGCTCAAGAAGACCCCAAATCCCAAACAAGCTGGCATCTGCCAGGAAGGGGTCAGGCCTGTGGCGCCTATACCAGCACAGGACTAGCATAGAGGCGCCATAGTGAGTGAATGGCAGGCAAGCAGACAGACATGATGATGAACCCTAACCCAGCCAGGGAGGGTGCCCAGGATCCCCATCCCCCCCTCCCACACAGACTTGACTTTCTGGCCCCCTTACAGCTGGCCGGCCGCAGCGGTCCCATAAGAAGCTTCATACTATGGACTTCTCCAATTGGTTGTGGGAAAAATTAAGCTACTTCATTCAAGGCCTCCGGAGCATGCTCAGGAACCTGACTCAGTCCCTGGCCTTTGAAGCCTTCATCTTCCTCATCGTGTGCCTCAACACCATCATGCTAGTGGCCCAGACCTTCGCTGAAGTCGAGATCCGGGGCGGTAAGAGGCGGGGAGCCCCATTTACGTGGAGAAGGCCATTGAGGTTGTTCTAGGCCTCCTGTGGGCCTTAACCAATGCCGGGCGATTTATATAACGTATCTCATTTGATCCTCACTCCTGGGAAGTAGATGACGTTGCCCAGTGTTAGAGATCGTGCTCGGAGAGATTGCCACGGTCAACCAGCCAGCTAGAGACAGCTGAACTGAAGGATGTGCTATTTGTGCCTACAGCCACCAGGTGGCGCATCAGCTCTAAATATGCTGCCCTGAAAGACAGGAAGGGTGCCCTGAACCCAGGTCGGCTAGAAGGGCCTGGAGACCCCAAGGAGGCCGCCCTGGAGGGGTGAGAGTGGAAAACCTGAGAAGGCAGCCCCTAACACCCGAGGAGCAGGGTGCAGGAAAGGACCTGCCACCGGCACGTAAACTAAGGAGAGAAGGGGAGGAATGGCTGATGTTTCTCGCGTGCTCACCGTTTCAGGCTCCGTTCTAAGCACTTTACTGTGTTGCATGCATTTAATGCTTATGAATGCTCTAACAGGCAGGCTGTATTGTCACCATTTTACAGACAAGAAAACTGAGGCACAGAGCAGTTAAGACAAGGCAGAGCCGGGTTCTCCCTGTGTGTGAGGTTCCAGTGGGGCGGAGAGAGGGGCCTAGGTTGCTGGGCGTGGCCCTGAGCAAGCCCCTGGTATCCCCGCAGAGTGGTACTTCATGGCCTTGGACTCCATCTTCCTCTCCATCTATGTGATAGAAGCTCTGCTCAAGATCATCGCCTTGGGCCTCAAGTATTTTTCTGACTCCTGGAACAATCTGGGTGGGTGGGGATGGGGCCTGTGTGTGTGTGTGTAGGGGAGCCACTACATTGCCTGGGGGGGCTGAGGACAAAGGTGACAGGGACGGGGAGGGCTGTGGGTCTTGCCCGGCAGGAGCTGTCACACGCAGGCACCCCTGCGCCCTCAGACTTCTTCATCATGGTCATGGCGGTGCTGGACTTCCTGCTCATGCAGCTCAGCTCCCTCTCCTTCATGCGCGTCATCTACCACCAAAGCGTCTTCCGGATCTTCAAGGTCTTCAAGAGCCTGCGGGCCCTGAGGGCCATCCGGGTCCTGCGGAGGCTCAGGTCAGCGGTGTCACAGTTGCCTACCCTGGTGTGGGGACTCCAAAGGAAGAGGGGACACAGGCCTGGGCTCCACAGGGGTCTGCTTTGCCCTGCTCGAGGGATCGGGGAGGAGGAGGCTGCAGACTTCAGCCCACTGACCAGTCTCCTGCCATCTGCTAGGATCAATCTCTGCGTTTTCCAGAGGGGGGCTGGGCCTCTCCCAAGTCACTAGCAAATCAGGGGCCTCCTGCCTTCAGTGTCAGCTCTGGCTGCTGGGCACAGAGCCCCTCCCTGCTGATTCAGCCTCCCTCTCCACCTCTGCCCACAGCTTCCTGACCAGCCTCCAGGAAGTGACCGGGACCCTGGCCCGGTCCCTGCCGTCCATCACCGCCATCCTCATCCTCATGTTTACCTGCCTCTGTATCCTGTGCCTTGGGGGCTGGGTGGGACCCTGCAGTGCTGCAGTGGAAGGTCTGGGGGGAGGGGACCAGGAGCGGGGCTGAGGGGAGATAGGTCCCTGTGAGCCCGGTTTGGCCCTAAACAGCCGGTCCTCTTCTCTGTGGTGCTCCGAGCATTGTTCCGCCAATCTGACCCCAAGCGCTTCCAGAACATCTTCACCACCATCTTCACCCTCTTCACCCTGCTCACCCTCGACGACTGGTCCCTCATCTACCTGGACAGCCGGGCCCAGGGTGGGGCAGGCCCCAGGCTGGGTGGACAGCAGGCGGCTGGCTGGGCAGGCAGACCCTGAGGGCTCAGTTACCCCATCTGCAAAGTGGGGCTTCTGATGCTTGCTGGACGGGGTGTGGTGAGGGCCAGCGAGGAACTCGTAACTCCAACAACCCTCTCTCTCCCAGGCGCCTGGTACATCATCCCCATCCTCATGGTCTACATCATCATCCAGTATTTCATCTTCCTCAAGTGAGGACCCCACCCCTGCTCCGCTTCCCGCCCCCACCTAACCCCGGGGCACCCCCTCCCCCGCCCTCTCCCCTTGGTCGTGCCACGATGAAGCCAGAGGAGGGTGCGGGGCCTCTCCTCCAGCCTCCTCCTCGAGAGGACCCCACTGTCGCCCCCTCCAGCCTGGTGATTGCTGTCCTGGTGGATAACTTCCAGATGGCACTGCTCAGGGGCCTGGAGAAAGTGAAACAGGAGGTACCGAGTGGGATGGGGCAGGTGGACCAGTCAGAGAAACGTGAGGAGGGAGGCACAGAGGCTGGAGGGAAGGGAGGAGGAGGCTCCAGGGATGGGCAGGCATGGGACTCTGGCAGGATCGAGGCCTCTTCTTCCCAGAGGGCCGCCCAGATCCACGAGAAGCTGCTGGATGACTCACTGACGGAGCTCAGGAAAGCAGGTATCGCCCCCCACCTTCCACAGTCAGACATGGAATTCCACGCTCAGTTTTACAGTTTCAGAGTCAGACTCAGGAGAACTTTCAGAGTTTAGAACTTTGGTCCAAAGAGCTCTAAGACCATCCTCCAAAAGCCACTTAAACTGATAGTCAATTCTGGAAAGATCCGTTTGCAAAATGACTAATTAGCCAAATTATGATTCACCAAACACCTGGTTCTAATAATAACTCACAAAGTTGATAGCAGTTGGTCTGACACGGGATGGTTTTAACTGCCTTCAAGGGTTCTGTCAAGGTTCTGTACACACTTGTCAGGAGTCACTCAAAGCGGATTGAGAGTCTACAATAATGAAGTTTCCTGTACCTGTTCATTTTTACACACTTGACTTTCTGGGTGAATTGATTTTGAGCCAATTGCTTTGCTTCCTACTTGAAGATCTTCAGAACTTTAGAATCAGGAATTCCACTCTTAGGGTCATCGACACCAGAGAACTAAGGATCCTCAGGGTCACCCGGTCCCCCACCCGCCCTCTCCATCAAGGATAGATACTCAGTGAAAAAAAGCTTGAGCAACAAAAGGAATTAACTGGCTCAAATTACTTAGCCAACTGAGGGTGTGTGGGCTTTCAGGAAAGGCTGGATCCAGAACTGGAGGATGGTTGGGATTTGGTCTCCTTCCCTCTCTCTGCTCGGTAGGCTTCTGCGCGGTTTTGTGCTTAGGGTGGCTCATCCCTTATGGTGGGAAGACAGCCACCTGCAACTCTAGTCCCAAATCCTGACAGTTCAGCCATCCCTAGCACTCTCAGCAGAGAGATCTTCTTCTCCCAGAAGTTCCTACAAAGTCCCAGAAATGAGTCTCCTTTGCTCCCATTGATCACCTGCCTATTTCTGAACCAATCACTGCAGGCAAAACAATAGGCTGTTCTGATTGGCCCTGGAGTCACAGAGCTGGGGAGTGGGATCAACCCCAGCTATACAACATGCACCGAAAAGGGGTGGGAGTGGTTCCTCCACAACGTTGGGAGACTTTTACCAGAAGAAGAGGGAATAGATGCTGGACAGGCAATGAACAAGCACAACTGCTACGTGCTCCACACCTGGAGAAGCAAGCTCTTTGGCAGCATCCCGGACAAAAATTCCTCTAGCCTCCATTTGAATATCTCCATGACACATGGGGTTTCTTCTACCCCGTCTCAACCCAGACATCTGCCTGACCTCCCTCTTCTTTCCATCCAGAGCCTGAAGAGGAGATGGGTGAACACGCGATACGGAAGCAGCTCATGGAGAAAAAATTTGGGACCATGACTGAGAAGTAAGGAGATGCGAAGGGAGGGGAGGCCTCGGGTCTAAGGGGAGCGGTCTCGGGGCCTGACCGGTGGGCTGGCAGGGAAAGGGACATTGCCCACCACTCCAGAAGGGGGCGTGGAGTGCCAAGGCTTATGTAGAGACTGTGGGTGGGACGTGGAGACGATGAGTGGGTTCAACTCAACCCGTATTATCTTATGCCACCAAGAGAATCCCACTAGCAGCGCCTAAAGAGCTGTGAGAGCCCCTCTGAAGCCGAGGGCCAAGGGCAGGGGCAGCGGAGAGGACCTGGGGGAGCAGTGACTCTGCTCATGTTTTTACTCAAGAAGCATCCCTGACCCTTGCTCTGGGCCAGGCCCTGTGAGGACTCCAAGGACTCAAAGAGGACCCAGACTAGCCCCTGCCCGGGAGGTCCCCACCTTTAAAGACCTGTACTGGCAAGAGAGACTTCAGCTAGGTGGAGGGGTGGGGAGGGTGGTCGGGGAACAGCTTGGGTAAAGGCCTGGAAGGCAGATAGTTAACACTCCATTCCTGTCCACTCCAGCGGCCAGCTGGGCTGGGATGCCTGGGGACTTGTGGGTGTGCTCGTGGCCAGGGGACCTTGATTCCTGCTGTCTGGCTCTCAGGCCTGGCTCCCCAGAGAGTCTTCTCCCTGAAAGCTGGGCCCCACCCCACTGCGTCCTGGCTGGCTCCAAACCAGCTGCCTGACGGCCGCCACCCTCCAGGCTCTCCTTGCCCACTGACAGAGCCCAAGCCCCAGAGGCCCTCCGTATCATTGCAGCCACCACCACCCCGTGTGTCCTCGCTTTGCCCGCATGGCTTCCCAAGTGTAGCATGTACTTCTCCACTTCCGCCTTTGCCCGCACTGTTCTCTCCCCCTGGAATGTTCTCTGGCTGCTGGCACCAGGCTCCGGCGACCGAGAGTTGGGAGAGCTGAGCTCCAATCCTGCTCGCTTCACCTCTGGCTGCTCTCCTGTCCACTTCCACATTCCAGCTCCTTGGCCACCGGCCTAGTCTGGGCCCTTGGCGCCTCTGTGATACTTTCTTTGGCGTTTCTTGACCTCCAAACTCTTTCCCACTGGTCCACCTCCACCAAGAGCGGTTTTTGGTTTTTTTTGTTGTTGTTGTTGGTTTTTATCACAAGTGTAAACGCACTTGGTTTGCTTTCCTGACTCTGCCACAGAGTTTCTCTGTTTCTTGTTCATTTCTATGTCCTCAGAGCATCTTGCAGTCTTAACTGATTTCAGTGTTATTTGATGGATGGCTCTATAAGACAGGCGGGCAGTGAAGAAGTTAATGGATGGGCAGCCGCTGGGGATTTGGGTGGATGACTGACTGCACAGCATGGTGAAGGGGTGGGTGGGTCCAGGGAAGAACAGGTGGACGGAGGGAGAGGTAAGTGTGGGAAAGGGTGGGGTGGTCACACGGGTGAGCGAATGACGAGGTAGATGGGTGGATTGAGGGGTAGGTGGTTGAATGGGTGCACAGAGAGGTATGAGGTAGTTGGAGGGGCAAGCAGATGGGTGGATGGAAGGATGGATGGTTGGTAGGATAAACAATTAATAGTCAGAACCCTCTGTGGTTCTGGCAGACATGGCGGCTTTTTAATATTTGGAAAAGAACACATACCATGAAAGGCCACGCTCAGAAAAGTTGTGGCCATGGCTGGGAATGGAGGTGGAGGGCGACGTAAATGTGTGGGTGAGGTGGGAAGGCAAGCAAGAAGAGCCGTCTGGGGGCTCCGGAGGCCCAGAAGGCCCAGCCTCGCCTCTGCCCCCCTCCCACTCCCAGGCAGCAAGAGCTCCTGTTCCACTTTCTGCAGCTGGTGGCTGGGGTGGAGCATTATCAACAGAAATTCCGCTCCCAGGCATCTGTCATTGATGAGATTGTCGACGCCGCATTTGAGGTGTCGGGAGCAGAGGGGAGGGGCCTGATCAGAGGGGAGGGGCCTGATCAGGGGGCGGGGCCTGATCAGGGGGCGGGGCCTCATTCATTTGAGGTGAACCAGGCAGGACAGAGGGGAGGGGTGGGGGGGTGGGGAGGACACTAGAAGGCCGGGTTTGGGGGGCTTGTGCCCAGAATCAGCCCTGAGTACCGGCCACACGGCATTTGGGAAGGCAGAGGCCAGCACGGGTTCAGTTACCCTCCCATCCCGCCCCTGCAGGCTGGAGAAGAGGACTTCAGGAAGTGACCCTGGAGATGGATGCCCAACGCAGACTTTAGCCTCTGGCAAGTTACCCACCAGGGTAGGTCGGGCAAGTCCCCAGATCTTCTGGAATAGTCTTCTGGGACTGACTGCAGGGCTGGGTCCCAACAGTTTTAAAATCCCAGGTGGCTCTGTGCCCTCACTGGCTGGGCCAAGGCACAGGGCAAGGGAACTTGTGTCATGCACACGTGTGTGCACACTCGAGTGTGTGTGTGCTCGAGTGTTGTATGTGAAAGGCGCTGTTCCTGGATCCCCTCCTGTCCCGCCAGAGCCCACCATCCTGGCTCGGCCTAGCAGTGCATTAGCCGCAGCCAGCGGGGTGATGTGGAGGGTGGGCCAGCTCAGCGCTGGAGGGGAGGGTGGGCGGGCACCCTGCTTTGGGGAGGAAGGCCCGTCTGGCCCAGGAGTTGGGAGAAAAAGAACAGGCTGAAACAGCCCACTGTTGTCGGGGCCTGGGGGACCAGTAGTCTCCAGAAATCAGGGCTTAGAGCCCAGGAACTCGAGCCTACCAGGACCCTCAGCATCCCATATAAGGATATCATGAACCCAGAGGTCAGAGGTCACTGCCATATCCTGCCCTGCCTGGGGTCGGACTCCAGAACCTCAGTGAAGGAAGTGAGGGTGGAGGCTGCTCAAGTCCTTCTGGTCTGGGGGTGATGGGGGGCGGGGGTGGAGCATGGCCGGGTGTGTGTGGAATGCAGGAGCCTGCTGTTAGAGGAAATCTGATGAGGCAGATGGTTGTTCCCATCCTTAGATGAGTTCCCCTCATCTGGACACCCAGAGCCCCCGTCCCCACAGCCGGGGGTGGCGATGGGGCACTGGCCCAGGTCCCCGAGTGCCTGGGCCTGTGCTGGGTGCTGGAGAACGATTACTGAGTCAAGCTCAGCCCAGCCCCGGCCACGGGGGCTCCCCATCCAGAGGGGGTCTTCCACCATCTACAACACCCCCTCGCCTCTAGTTGAGTGAAGCCAGGAAGCAGTACAGGCTGCAGAGTTAGGCTGGGACTCCAGAGTGGGGGCTGAGGGTGACAGACAGTTTTGCCAGCCACCCCGGACCCCTAGGCTGGACCAGACAGTGGCGAAGCCTCCGGGCCCCAGGACAGAAGCAGCACCTCCCCTCCCCAGCCCAGCTGACGGCACTTGCTGGCCCAGGGCCCAGGAATAGACTCTGAGGAGGAAATGCCGTCTTGGATTTGGGCACAGATTCCGGGGGTGGAGAGGCCACTCGGCAGATGTCTCTGGGCCTCTCGTCACCCCACCACCTCACACATTCATTCAACAAGCATTTCCTGCCACCTACCCTGCGGCAGCCTCATGCTGGAGGCTTCTGCTCAGTGGCAGCTGGGAGTCCTTCCAAGCAGCAGCCCCATCGCATGGCCCTGGGCTGTCTGAGTTGCCAGATCTGACAGGCTTGAGCAGAAGCAGGGCTCTAGTTTCCCTGTGTCCCTAACTCCTGTCATACTCAGCCCCTCACTCATCAGACTTCCATGCGAGTCTCGTCTCGTCTACTTGCTGCTTGCTCATCCCCACCCCAATACGGCCTCCGAGGGCAGAGGGCAGGGCCTGAGAGCTGGGGCTGTTCCTCATTAGGTCCCAGCACTGGGCAGGGGACCAGGCAGGCACAAGCAGGATGTGTGGTGGGTTTGTGTGTGTGTGTGTGTCTGGTGTGTTGTAGGTTTGTGTGTGTGTGTGTAATGAAGATGAATTGCAGCCACAGTCAGGTGTGCAAAAAACGTTGCAACTCTGTTTTCTTTAAATGACCTTAAATTGCATCTGTCCCCTCATCCCTCCTGTGAACAGTAGATTTGCCCTTGGTCCCCTTGGGGCTCCCTATCCAGCCCCTTCCAGGGGGGGGATGTCCCTCTGGCCTGTGGCCCACAGTGTGTACTGAGAGCGACTGTCCCAGCCCTCGTGGTCTCTTGGCCTGCAGGGGCTCTGCCATCTCTGGGCAGCATGTGCGTATAGGAATCTCATAGGCTGAGCCCAGTGGCCTGGGGCCCAGCTGGCTGACCCTACCACATGCCACTGAGTCATCCTTGGGCTGAGAGGGAGCCGAGCTCAGGTGCTCCTCAGACTATTCCCAGCTCCTCTCCCTTTCCACTCGGCATCATCCCTCTTGTGACTGTGTCTCCAACCCCTTAACTGGGAATATTTGGAGTCTCTGGAGGTTTGTTCCTCTATGTCTGTGACACTGGAGTGTTTAGGGGACTCCGGATTCGGCTCAACTCTGCCCCCTCAGCACTGTCTGGGCTGGGACAGCAGAAGGTCAGCTGGGGGTAGGGAGGAGCTGCCAGGAGAGGGAGCGGGGGACGGCAGAGGAGAAGTGAAGCACTCAGGAGACACCAATTCACAAAGCAGTGTGAGCAATTTATTGCCACAGATGTGGCCCATGGACCAGTACCCTCCACCGATGCACCCGCTCCTGCCCGGTCCCGCCCAGTCCCTCCCACTCCCATGCCCACAGGGGTCTTCTACACAGGCACACAGTGATGCTTCAGAAGGCTGGAGGTGTTCTGCCAGGGGACCAGCAGGATCTCAAAGTCGCAGCACAGCTTCTGCAGATAGAGCATGGGGAGAGTAGGAGGGGTGAGCTCGGGCTGAGGCCTGGACAGAGGCTGCCCACAGGCAGCCTTCTGTCACAACAGTGCCTGCGGCGCTCTGGAACACAAGAGGGGCAGTCACTGGCCCAAGGGACATCAAGTCAGAAGGCCAGGACTAGATCCCAGATCTTTCTAGCTAACTCCCTCACTTCAGGGTGAAGCCCCAGTCTCCTCCTGTCTGCACCCCACCCTGGCCTGAGTCATCCAGAAGGCAGGGACAGGTTCAGCCAGACATCAGCCTGGCCAGCCAGACCAGTTCAGTCTCGGGTGCTGGGCAGGGTGTGTGTGTGTGCCAGGATGTTACCTCCTGCTGTGCTCCTACGGCCAGAGGGCAGGTGGTGAGGTCTCCAGTCACAGCATTCTTCCTGCAGGCGGTGCTCACCATCTCGACGGTCAGGTAATACTTGACCCCAGCCACCAGCTGGGACGTAGGCAGGGGCAGGTCAGGGTGCCGGGAGACAACCCTTGAGCCCGACCTCTCACCTCCCTTCACATCCTCCCATCTCCCATTCTCTCCCCCTGGACATGGGGGAGATGCAGACTTGTGAATTGGGGGGTTCTGGTGGGGAGCCCTGGGGAGAGAGGCAGAGGCCTAGGCCCCGCAGGAGGCTGAGACCCCAGTGCCCACATGGTCCTGAAGCCCACGGCCCCATCTCCCTCATCGCCCCCTCCCCACCCCACCCGTCTGAGCAGGGACTAGTGTGAGGCTAGTGAGGTAGCTATCCAAGTTCAGGGTTGGATCCTATTTGAAATTTAGGTATTTTGTTCATTGTGAATTTTGGCATTAATTCGATTTTTAAAAATACATTGTATTAAAATATTATCCTAGTTACTCTTGCCGCGCCCCCTTCCTCTGGCGGCCGGCGGAGCGCCTCCCCGGCCTCGCCCTGGCGGGCCCTGCGCTCCCTCTGCTTCCCTCTCGTCCCTGTCCCCTGGCCCCGCCGCACCTGGCTCTGCGCCTTGAGGATGTTGGTGTCTCGGAAGTAGTAGGCGCTGTTGCTGCCTATGTTGTAGTTGGCCACGGCCACCTGCGCCGCCTTCCGCACCTGCGGGTCGCTGGGCGACAGGTCCCTGCGCTCTCCGACCTTGCGCTCCCCGGGCAGGGCCCGGGCGTCGCGGGGCAGCGCCAGGAGGCAGAGCGCGAGCAGGGCGAGGCCCAGCGCCAGCGGCGGGCTCGGACGCGCCATGGTCATCCGTGCCGGGCCCGCCGCCCCGGCTGCTTTTACGGGCTCCGCGGCCCCGCCCCGCCCCGCCCCGCCCCGCCGTGCGCCGGGGGGGATTGCGATGCCGGGGCGGTCGGGACCCGGGAGGGGTGGGGGAGCAGCCGACAGGCCCGAGCACACCTGAGCGCCAGGATGCTGCCCCGCCCTCCAGGACACACCCAGTCCAGTCCGGTGGGGGAAAGGACAGCCGCAGTCCCCAGCAACAAGTGCCACTGGGACAGTTCAGGAGAGGCCCGTCCAATATGAAATACTGACAACAGCTGTTGGCAAGCTCTTACTATGGCCACCATTTATTAACTGTGTAACCCTGGAGAAGTTACTTAACCTCTCGCTGCCTCAGTTTCCTCCTCTGTAAAATGGGTTGCTGAGAGGATTCAATAGGTCAAGTGTTCTAATTAGAGGAGCCTGGTGCTCTGTAGACAGCAAGTAAGTAGGAGACATTACTGTGCTGAGCCCACGCTGTTTAACCCTCACAACCAGCACGAAGTGGCAATCAGTAATGTTTCCACTTAAAAATTTTTTTTAATTTAATTAATTAATTTATTTCCCCCAAAGCCCCAGTAGATAGTTGTATGTCATAGGTGCACATCCTTCTAGTTGCTGTATGTGGGACGCGGCCTCAGCATGGCCGGAGAAGCGGTGCGTCGGTGCGCACCCGGGATCCGAACCCGGGCCGCCAGCAGCAGCGCGCACGCACTCAACTGCCAAGCCACGTGGCCGGCCCCAGTAATGTTTCCACTTTACAGAGGAGGAAACAGGACACAGAGGGGACAACTGATTTGCCCCAGGACATCAGCTGGTAAATAGTAAATAGAGGTGCTGGCTTTTGAGCCTGGGCAGTCTAACTCAAATCTGTGTTTTCAAATCAGACTGAGCCCAAGGGATGAGAACTGGCCAGAAGGAAGGATGTGTGTCATACCAGCTCTGCCATTTACTGACCAGTTGACTTCCAACAAGTCCCTCGACCTCCCAGAGCCTCAGTGTCCTCCTCTGAAGAAAAGTGACAGCTCATATCTTCGAAGGTTATTCTGACATGAATGGCCTGAGCCTGGATCACTCATAGGTATACTGGCCATGTGCTGGAGGTACCAGCAAAATAGGACACTGTGACTTTTTTGGATTAATCTGATAATTAATACATAAAAAACTGCATTGAAGTAGTC